TGACGATTGGGCCGCTCTCTCTCTAAATAGAGAGGACGCAGGCCCCCGAAAAACCGCCCCCGATCTGGTCATTCGACCCTTGTGACGGACGTTTCAAAAACGTCACGTCACAGTATATATGTATGTATCGGGGAATAAGTTGACTGTACCATGCACACACACACATGCAGGCAGGCACACGCGATCATATCAGTGCGCGGCAGATACTCAGTCTCAGTCGCGCGTGTTGTGTACATACGCGTAACAAGAGATTACCGCAAAAGTACGCTCAACTGTTATAACGCGTTATAACGCGTTGAATTTAAAAAACGAAAGTTGTGTTTTTGTAGTGTGATTTTAATAGTGTGTCCACATAATGGCGATTCTAAGCTACACATGGAAGATACTCGCGACAGTGTTCTTCACAACATATGTCAAGGTCATGGTCATTGGGTCCGTTTTGTAATGTTTTATTATCATGTCCAATACTTTAAAGTGATATATCTTGAAAATTATTGGTCGGAAAATTTCTTTACTATTTTTCTTGTGTTTCTCTTCAAAAATGCTTTCAGAAACGACTTTTCAAATAGGGGGCCGTAGTTATCGTAATCGTGCCATAATTTCTTATCACTTTACTTTAATCATTTTATGATTAGGATTTATGATTAAGGATTATTATTTTTCTTCTTGTTACATTATTTTGCGATACTCTTACACAATGTGTCTTGCCGTTGCTGCGCGCGATCTTTGCTTCGCGAGACGCTACTGTATCTCTTGATACTCCTCTTTGCACTATTCCGCAATATTCTTACTCTTCCTTGCACTATTCCACGATACTTTTATAAAGTATCTCTACTATTTTTATGATAAAATAATGCACTCTTGCATTGCAAATTTATTAACTTATACCTGTCAAAAGCGAACAGTAACATCAGCCTTGTTAACGCAGTCTTAATTAACGCACAAGTGTTGTGCGCGCATTCCCTCCAATGCGGTTGTTCTCTGTTCTCTATTCCCTGTTCCTTATTTCTTTTATTGTGCGGAGGCCCTTAAGGCGAATGCGCCACCTGCATAACTTTCGCGCATGCGCATTAAGGACTTGGGCGGCGATGACAATGGAGACGTATCTTAGTAAAAATTTTATACATTTCGACTTTGCGTCATATACCTCCGTTCACGATATATGTAGAAAAAAAATAAAAACACTTTTAATTATTCAAACCCAAGCTATCGATTAAGCCTATTAAAAATACGATCGATTTAGCAGTTATTGTGGTCCAATAATCTAAATCTAAGGTACTCGCAACTGGCCGACTCGCGTATAAATACCCGGTATGCCTCGCTATTGCTTCATAAGACTTAGCGCGAGACATTACTGTGTCTCTTGACCCGCTAAATTTTTTCTTTTGGGGTTATTTAAAAGACTGGGTTTACAAAACCAAACTTTAAAATATGGATAGGACTTGCGACACCCAATTACCACTGAAGTGGCATTAATTACCCCCAAAATATTGGGAACTCTTTACTGCAATTGTTATCATTGATTGGCTCACTGTACAAGGTCAACATTTCGAACATTTACTAATATAAACACACACACGACCATATACACCCCCACCCACACTATTTTTCTCTTCTTTGAAAACATTTTCAAATGTGTGCCCACTTTACCCTACATGCCATTTAAGATTTTTGAGCTACACCCACTCTCTTGCTTTATGGGTTGAAAATGGGCGCCACCCTAAAAGATAACTTTTATGATCTCATAAAATCCCTCAAAATTTCAACCCTCTATCTATATCCGTTCTAAAGTTATTAAGATTTATCTAAACTTTCTTATCTATTCTGTATATGTATATGTATATGTATATGTATATGTATATGTATATGTATATTGTTCTGCATATGTATATGTATGTATACAGAATGTCCGATATAATAACCGTATTTCCTCTCATGTGCAGGTAGAGCAGATGAAATCGAGAAGAAAAGTCCTTTACCAATTTGCGATTTTTGTAATAATTATTGAGAAATTAATTAAAAAAGATTGACCAAATCGCTCGAGTATAAGCGCGCGGCGAGAAGAGATAGCCTAAAAGTACGCAATCGCTAAGCGTGCGACGAAGTTTTGAAAGGAGCGCTCTACAAATGACAACAGTTACGTACGAGCAGTATATAACGCTAGATTCTAGCATCCTAGCAACTACATATCAATAGGCTATCCCTTCTCACTGCGCGCTTATATTCGCGCAAATTGGGCGATTTTTTAAAATTATAATTTCTCAATAATTATTACAAAAATCACAAAATAGTAAAGGACTTTTATCCTCAGTTTTACCTACTCTACCTGCACACGAAAAATGATACGGTTATTATCGAACACCCTGTATAAAGTAATATTTGTAATTACAGATATGTAAGCCAGTTTGGAAATTTGTAAATATTAAAATGGCACCTATGTACTGCATTATTACAAATAAGTTGCATTGTAACGATGCTATAATTTTATTACAATTTTGTAAAGACGTACATCTTAATTGCGGCATTGCCGCTATCTTAGAGCAATGATGTAGCAATGTTTTGCAACAGATTTGCGATATTGTAATCTTTCAATCAAATTATTCTGCAATATGTTTGCAATCTTACTCTGCCGTTTAGGTTTTTGTGAAATTTAGTAAACAACTGCACTTTTATTAAAATTTGCCAAATAAAATCAATTTTTAACGAATTTAAATTTTAATAAAATTGTAATGAAAAGGAATCAATTAATTGAGCTTTTAATATGTCATTCAGTATTATTTCAGTATAATTTTTATTATAATTTCCGTCAGTTATTTTCATCTGGGTTAAAAAATATTTTTTGTTGAACTGTGTAATCTGCAATTTGAAAGCATAATTTTAAGAGAAAGATGTACAAAATATGATCCATTTTATTTTTAGTGAAAACGAAATTATAATGCTATATTTGTTGTATTACCGTTTTTACATTAAATTAATTTTTACTTGTGTCAAAAGATAGTGCCCTTAATTGTGCACACCGTGTGCGCGCGCGCGTATGTGTGTGTGTACGATGACGACGTGGACGTTTCTTGAACATAAATTTTCACATTAAAACTTTGCATCATAATATCTCTGCTTATTAGGACGCATAAAGCAAAAATAAAGATATATTTTCTTATACAATTAAGATCCAAGTTATTTTTCTATTAAGAACTCAATTGGCCTAATCGTTTACTGACGATGAGACCCATAATCTAAATTCACTCTCAACTTCGGCGATTCGTGTATAAATACACGGTCACTTCGCTGTTGTTGCGCGTGATTTGGAATATGATATTAACATGTCTTTGGATAGATAGGTTATGCTGCATTCTTGCTATGTTTCTACTATCACGGTATGACAGCAGATCATGCTTGATTTCTGCTGTATTTCTGCCGTCAGTGACCAATGTAATAGACCTTGCTAATTATTTGCTACGTATCTGTTGTAACGATGTATAGCAAACAATACTTCATTTTTGTTGCATTTTTACTGTCATGATATATTGCATGTCATGATATACGACAAGTCGTGCTGCCAGAAATTAAATTTAATGAGGACGCAGCACATAAACGGAACCTGCTGCATATACGGAATCTGCTGCAAAGTTATAATTAATTTTTTTTGCTGTTATATTGTTAGTATTTTGCTACTTGGAAACACAATAACAGCTTTATATTTTAAAGAAGATATTCTTAAAATATCCTCTTTTACACACACCTCTGCACATCTATAGATTGTTGCATGCAATAAAAAATATCAGGGATGTTATACATCTCAAAAATATGCACACAATATATTTTCTACAAAATAATTTAACATACGGTTACATTTACATACGGTTTTGGTAAATAAGTATATCAAAAGTATATTAAAAACATAAAATAAAGAGATATGTAATTAATAATAAATCTCAATTTTAATAGATTGTAATGAATTCTTTCAAAATTTTTGTAATTATTTTTGTAATATCTTTTATTGTTCTGATGCGCGTAGAACTCACTCTCAAGTTTATATACAAACATTTCAGTTTACACTCTATATATCTTATAATTTTATTATTATTTTCTTTTAATCTGATATAGAAAATTATATTCTCACTCTTAAAGCGGCATAAATTTCTAAACTTGAAAGAACTGTAAAAATAGAAGAAAAGATGACAATATGTACTTTTTTATTTTAAATAAAATACTTAATTTTAAATGTAATTGTTGCATTAATGATCGTCAAAAGTGTTAGCAAATATATCTCTTATCATGTATTATTAGTAATTAGAAAGGAAAATAATTGTTGGAAGAGTACAAAAAATTTTGTTAACATATTGCAAAATATGAGTCTTGAAAAGTGGGATGGTAATATGAAACAGGCATAAAATAAAATATTATTATTATGATATTGACGCCTGTACTTTCTAGTGATTGAAATAGAACAGAATGGTTATAATTACTATAATTACCGATAGATTGTGCTGTAATAGTTTGAAAAATTATGTCTACCTCTTCATGTTACTATCCAGTCAATCAAGTTCGTTTGAATAGATTTTGTCAATATTTGCTACAAATAGTTTTCAGCTAAGAAAAGCTACAAATTTAATACAGAGTTTGTTAATTTCGATTATGTCGATAGACTGTGAGCAGAACTGTGACGAAGCCTACTGACATAATCTGATAGCAGATTAACTGCAAAAACCAAGTAAAATTTGCATCCATCTGCAGTCCTTGTTTGGTTTTTGCCGCCGATTTACCGTCATATTGCGTACAAATTTTGCTCGGTTTTGGCTAGCAATTTGCTCCCAGGTTCTATGAACAGGCTCTGCCAATAAATCACAAGCCTAATGCAGACACAATTGATTTCAATTTGCTAGCATACTGTACGCATTTTGTTTACCGAGTACCCTGTTTAATATTACCATATCTTCCCCTATAAATTGTACAATTTTTCATTTAAAATGATTACTAATATAATTGATTTTTTTTTTCAGGATTCCCCAAAATAGTAATCAATGAGAATATGACCCAAGTAATTTACTTATTGCCTTATCGCTTTCATCTATTTTATGCAGTCAAGAACATGCGTACTTACATGATTACTTATATCTTGGAATTACCATTTGTATTCGTCAGTGGTTTTGGGCAAAGCGCAGCTGATTGCATTATGGTCACCCTTGTTTTTCATATTTGCGGTCAAATGTCAGTTTTAGCTTTGCGCATTAACAATATAAATTCCGATCTCCTCAGATGCAGACGCGAAATGCGACATGTAGTGCGGATGCATATACGGCTACTACGGTGAGCTTATTATACATATATTAAATAAGGGAAGGTAGAACACACATACACACACACACACGGAAAGATTTCCATATACGACCTACCTCCGATTTTGATGAAATTTTACAGGAATGTAGAGCTTACTAAATGTAGTCGAATGCCGCAAGTGCGAAGGTGCGGAAACGTCCAGTTTCTGAGATATTCAAATTTTAATTATCTGGCTAAATGGACAATTTTTTTATTTTTATTTCTTCCATATAAAAAAAAGATTATAATTTAAAAATATTTCGCTGAAAATTTTTATTTATTTTTTGCGATTCGCAACTTTTGTCATCGTTATTTATATGAGAATGTTTTTACAAAGGTTTATCCGTTAAGATATTTGCGAATTGTATGATTTTATGACTTGAATATATTGTACATTCGCTATTTGCTTCTCAAGCCCATTTATTAATTTTTTATTTCATTGGAGCTAATTTTGTTATTTTAATATATTAATGTTGGTTTTTTATCTCATTAAAAATAAGAAATTATATGAGGCAATCAATCAAAACATTTAAATATGCAAAATATATAACATACGCACATATGGAATTTGATATGCGTCATATCCTTGCCATAGATCCTGATAACATAAAGAACAGCAATTTTTGTTCACATAATTATAACTCTGGATTGGAAGGTCGTAGCGACATTTTTCAAAAGACATTTTCCTCATGTTTAAAAGTATGTTGAAATAAGTATACACTTGACTCTTCATGACATTTAAAATTTTTGAGCCACTACTAGCCCTTGCTTCATGGAGGGTGGGCATCATCCTGGTCAAAAAGCTTTTATAATCCCACAAAATCGTTCAAAATTTATATTCTCTATCTCTATCCGTTCTAAAGTTATCAAAATGTATCCAGACTTTTGGCCTACCTTATATATTTGCATTATCAAATAACAATTTTAATTTTAGTACATATATGCTATGAATCGAATAGACTCATACAACATTTAGAGAAAATATAGAAAGCAAAAAGGCTATATACAGGGTGAGTTATTTTAATCAACGCACGCAAATATCTCGCAAAGTAAGCAAGATGAAAAAAATGTTTTATACAAAAGTTGTAAGATTCAGAGGGGGACACATGATGAAAATATGGACTTGACCTTGAGTGATCTTTTCAAGGCCAAGTCAATATGATCGATGTTTTCTTAAATGCAACTATTTTTGTAGCTTATCTCGAGAGCTTTTCAAAACACTATAATAAAGTATACTAATTGATTTGTCTCATTATTCTGTACATAAAAGTATTACGGTAAGTGTTTAATAAAGGATCGGAGAAGTTCTGGCTCCGGAGGTGCAGGACAGAACCAAATTTTCACGCAAAAAAAAAATGTGTGAACCGCACTTCACAGTTAATCAAAATTGTCAATTCTGTTTATTCGTATAACTGCTGTTAAACCTTACAATCTACTTATTAACTACTAATAACAAAAGTGTATGCAAAAATAATAGGTAAAGAAAATGATGACGCAGAGGACGTACAAAAGGAGAATCGAACAAAAGAGTGTCGCGTATTACGTCGATTATCGAGAGATTACAGCCGTAACGTTTGCGAGAACCCGTAAGAGATCTCACAGTCGATGTGAGAAGGACCGTGAATATTCGAAGTGAGAACGGTGCACTTCCTTTTGTTGAGAAAAGGGAGACACTACTCTCACACGCGAAAAATTTGAGTACGTCCGAATTAGCTGATTTTCTGTCCACTGTGATTACTTGCGTTGAGAAATGAACCGATATGTTGATCACTTGATCCGAACAAAGAAGCCGAATATGAATTCAGAGAGTTTTATAACTGTGCTAATGGCAACACGTGCCACGATAGACCGGTACTCATGGAATGATCTTGTTTATTAGTATTCTTAAATCAAAATCTTACACGCTAGTTTGGTCGGTAATAATCACCCAACATTATACGTAGTGTCTTAGGCAAAAAGGAGATATTACAAGACTTATTGTAAAACGGGCCTAAGAGTACGCGCGGAGTATAATGCGATAAGAAGAAAAGTGATTAAATGATTAACGGTTATGAGAATATCGCGGAATAGTGCAACACAAGGAAGAAAAGTGATAAAGTGAAAAGAAATTATTAACGTGGAATAGCGCAAGGAAGAGAAATGGTTTCTTTTAATCGTATTAAGCAAAGTTAGATTATATTAGCGAAATTGAACAAATGCTTTACATGCGATGCTTGAATCTGTGTATTATCAATTAATATATGTGTGACAAATAGATTGTTGGAAAATGATTATGGAGGCATTGAAGGAATATTTGGAGATTTTGGCTGACCATGTTTTTGATAAGCTGATAATTATATGCTGAACGCGTATTCATGTATATAATATTTATTTATATTCTATATATAAATGTAATTAATGCATAATTTTATATACAAATGTAATTAATGCATAATTAATATTTTCAGGTTAATTTACAAATGGCTATGCAATGAATTTATGTTAATGTAGCAAAATTAATCTGGTAAAAATTCTATTAAAAATATCATAAAAACAACAACATTGAATACACATTTTTATTAATTGGCTTTATAAAGAATAATGAAATGATAAAATCATATTGAAGCACTTTTATAGTGTCCACAAACATTTTGAGGATCTGGAATTACTCGCAACTTTTGGAAATATGTAAATGTTTATTTACATTTTACATATAAATGTAATTAATGTGTATTAATATTTTTAGATCATTTACAAATGACTAAGCAATGAGTTGCATGTTTACTTTAATAAAACAAATCTTGTGGGAATTATATCAAAAATATTACATATACAATTGTTCGAAACGGCTGCAAGTGCCGAATCGCATCCCTGAATATCAGCGAAATGAATTTCAAGCATTATTTGTCCGTTCGAAATTTTGAACTTGTAACGTGTATAGCGTACATCGTTTCGTTAAAGTGATCACCTTCAAAGCCATCATAAATCGTTATGATATTCGAAACGTCTAAAAATACACAACAAAGAAGACTCTTGCGAGAGAAAAATAACAATTAGAATCACCTCATCGCGACGCATTAGCGAGATTTCGAGAAGCTAGAATCTTCTAGAAAACCGCGGGTATAAAACAGGCGACCTCGAGCGACCCAGCACCAGATCGCTTTCGCTGTAATCGAATTTATCTACGCACTCTTTATCATTTGTAAACGAAGTTGCTTGCTTCTCAAAGCAAAAATTCGCGAGTTTAACTTAAATCCGCGGGTTAATCTCCAGGACAACTTCTCTGTATATAATTTATAAATTAAATATATTTCTTGTAAATAGTGTACAAATTGTGTGCGCGCTGTTTGCTTGCAATTCGCAACGTTTTTTTTCTTAAAACGGTCCCGAATAACAATTGAATTGAAAGCATCAGAGTTAGAGCCTGAAATAAAAAGCATTACTCAAAGAAGAGAAATATGATAATAACTTTGTTTATAAATTATATAATAAAGGCTATTTATTTTCTTGGTCTAAATACTTTAAACAAGGATACAATACCTTAAGGACAAGATTTAGTCTATTTAATTTTTTTTGACATAATGGTTAAACTTATTTTTTTAAAACAATGAGAAACGTGAACATGGAAATTGATGGTTTATTCGGATGGAGCTGCCTTTTGCAATATAATGTTATCGAAGAGTATTAGAATATATGTCATCAATAAATGTAATTCAAATTTGAATCAAAATAAGAAGGAAGAGTCGGTTAATGATGCTGAATTGCAGATTTTATTAGAGGATCGTATAAAAGTTTATAATAATTTGGCAGCTGGGTTGATTAAAACAGAAGCCCATAATGCAGCTTTAGAAAATGTGAAACATGTTTCGAGGTGTCAACCACAAAATGTTAAAACACTATTTAGAAAAGATTGTGACGGTTCACCTTTCCCGACGCCGCGGATTAGGCTCGTCGGAGCCAGGATTCGGGAGAAGGGGAAAACTCAAACTCATTCGTCCTCGGTGAAATGAAAACGGTTTATTTAAACAAAGTTATTTACAAAACGGTTGTGCAAGAGTTGTGCGCAGCAATGCTCGTGCGAGCAGCAAGTTGTAAGCGGGCGCAGGCAAGGTTCGCGTAGCAAGCGAATCTCATGCAGCCGGTGTCTCGGCGATACAAGATGCGCGATCTCGGTATTTACAAGAAAGCGCTATATGTGCTGGTTAACGGCAGGTCTTAGTTTCTACGCGGTATTTACATGAAGCGGCGAATTCCAGCAGGTCGCGGTGTTTACCAGCGGTAGATCGCGGTATTTACAAGAACCGGATAAGCGGCGGATCTTAGAATCTATGTGCCGTCCCAGCAACCGGGAAACCCGGCCTAATCATGAGAATGCCGTGGCTTGGTTTAGCGGAATCGCAAGGTGTGCCATCCCAGCAACCGGGAAGCCCGGCCTAATCACGGGAAGCCTGTGGCCTGGTTTAGCGGAGTCACAGGAGGTGCCATACCAGCAACCGGGAAGCCCGGCCTAACCATGGGAAGCGCGTGGCCTGGTTTAGTGGAAGTGCGAGGTGTGCTGTTCCAGCAATCGGGAAGTCCGGCCTAACAACGTAAATTCCGTTGATTGGTTTTAGCGGAGTCGGTTTCGGATGTGGTGAGCTGTGTCGGACAGGACTCAAGATCAGGAACTGAAGCGCTCGTCGGGCCGCCTTACTCATATATATCCGGCGAAACGCGCCGGCCGATTTTCCACTCGCGCGATTTGGTGGATGGGCGGTCCCCACGGTGGGATCGCGTAACGGGTGTAGGCGTTTGGGGGCGCCATAGGCGCCGAGCCTCTTAACGTGAGCGGCTGGTCGGCACGCGAGGCCGTTAGTAACAGTATCGTTACAAGGTATTGCAAAAATTCTAATCTTTTCATTTACTATATTTAATCTTTTTTTTAATAAGTCGTACATATTCTTCATTTATATTTTACATATGAAAAATTCAAATATGTGTATATATATATTGTGCGTATCGTAGGAACAATACAAA